AGCAAGTACTAGCGAAAATCCGGTAATTAGTTAAACGGAAGATTTTTACCTTTTATGGAATTGTACCTAGGGTAGGACTCCCCTACTATATAAAAGGGGGTCTGATTATTCATTAGACATATTGTAACACGCATATCAAGGCAATATACTATTATTTTCTCTGTTATTCAAAGTTCTTATTCTTGTTCATCAGTGCTTGGTCATTGTGAGTCCGGAATAGAGAGTGGATATTTCATTAAGGTTGTTGTTAAGTCCGGAATCACCCTCCACATGTGGTTTGACAATTTATTATCTCCTTTATCCATTTAATCTAACGTAATTTATCGTTTGTATCGAATTAATCCATATATCCTTAAAACCACAAATAAAATTTATTATTATCCGTTTTTTAGGGTAAACAGTTTGTCGCCCACCGTGTGGCTAAAGATAATAATGGTAATTTGATACAAATTTTCATAACACACCATATTTTTCACTTGTTCTTTGAAGTCTTTAATTTCAGGTCAAAGCTTAAAATGTCAAACTCCCAATATGCCCCTTTGAACGTGGATGCTGAGTCTGGACACCATGGAAAGAACAACAATGTGGTACCCAGTAACGAGGTGCTCCCTGTTGACCCCAACGGAGTTTTGGCCGTGGACCCGATCGACGTTAACTCACATGTAGCCATCAATGCATTGCCTACCGATCCTGAGAACAACATCTGTGGGGGGAGTCCGATCGGTAGCCCAAAATAAACACGAAGGTGAATGTGATGTAATCAACTTGTGAGTAATCTTCGAAATGTTGCAGGCTCAATAAGCAGCGATATCCCAGTTGCAGAACCAGAGCCGCCCCCCCAACAGAGTCGAGCCCGAACCGTCCCGAAAAACGCTCGCAGAAATGAACCAATCGTAGAAAGGTCGAGTGAAGATGAACCTGGGACCAACCCCGAGATCATAAAGATGCTTGAGGAACTGACAAAACTGGTGGAATCGGGAGAAAGAAAAATCAAAGCTAATGACAAAAAAGTATAAACCTACAATTCCAGGGTCGACGAAATCCCAGAGCACCACCGATATTGAAGGGCCTGAATTCCAAGAAGTTTGTTCAAAAACCTTTCCCTCCAAGCACAACTCCGAAGCCGATCCCAAATAAGTTCTGCATGCCCAAAATTCCTAAGTACAATGGAACAACTGACCCAAATGAACATGTAACCTCCTACACGTGCGCCATCAAGGGGAACGACTTGGAAGATGATGAGATCGAGTATGTCCTGCAGAAAATGTTCGGAGAGACCTTGTCAAAAGGAGCTATGATATGGTATCACAAATTACCCCTAATTTTATTGACTCATTTGCTATGCTTGTAGACTCCTTCGTGAAAGCACACGCCGAGGCCATCAAGGTCGAGACCAGGAAGTCATACCTTTTTAAAGTGAAGCAAAAAGATAATGAGATGCTCAGGGAATTTATGTCCTGATTTGAAATGGAACGAATGGACCTGCCTCCGATCGCGGGTGATTGGGCCGATCAAGCCTCCGTACAAGGACTCAATGCTCGAAGCTCATTTGCTTCACAGCAGTTGAAGAAAAATCTGATAGAATATCCGGCGGTAACTTTGGCCGACGTCCATAACCGGTACCAATCAAAAATCAGGGTCGAAGATGATCATCTTGGGGGCCCTTCCGAGTTCATTTAACCCGTCAGAGCTAGTGACAAATCCAAAAGAGACATTGATCGTGAACCAAGATCAAATAGAGAGCGGTATCAACCATACAATGGAGATCGAAAAGGTAATGGGCCTGGACAAAACCTTGTAAGAAGTGAAAGGAGAAGCGACCAGGGTTAAAATAATCGGGGACTCATGAGCAAAAGCAATTTTGACAGGCCCATCGGGCCTAAGGAAGCGTCGAGGTTAATAGAGTATAACTTCAACGTCGATGCTGATGCCATCGTATCTGCCATCGGACGTATCAAAGACACCAAGTGGCCTCAACCTTTACAGTCTGATCCTACCCAAAGGGACCCCAACCTAATGTGTAAATATCATGGCACTCACGGCCACAGAACTGAAGACTGTCGACAACTGAGAGAGGAAGTAGCCTGGTTATTCAACAACGGACACATCCGAGAGTTCCTGAGCGATCGAGCTAAAAATCATTTCAGGAATAGGGACTCAATAAGCAGATCGAGCACGAGGAACCTCAGCACGGCATTAACATGATCATTGGTGGGGTTGACGTCCCCCAGGGGCCTATGTTAAAGCGCACCAAAGTGTCCATCACAAGGGAAAAGCAGACTCAAGATTACGTGCCAGAAGTAACCGTATCTTTCAACGACGAGGACGCTGAAGGCGTCGTGCAACCGCAAAATTATGCAATGGTAATATTTGTACTCAAAATAAATCTCGAATTAAGCGTGTGTTAATTGATCTAGGTAGCTCGGCCAATATCATCAGATTGAGGGTCGTAGAATAGCTATGTTTACGATACCAAATTGTGCCTGCAATCCGAGTTCTAAATGGATTCAACATGGCATGTGAGACCACTAAAAGGGAGATAACCCTACCGGTGAACACGGCTGGAACCGTTCAAGAAATAAATACTATGTGATCAAAGGAGATATGAGATACAATGCTCTGTTCGGGAGGCCATGGATTCACAACATGAGGGAGGTGGCCTCGACACATTGAATTCCTTATAATATAGATTGTTTCTCCTGGTCCCACCTTGACATGACAGGGATCCCGCCGGAAATAACTACTCACAAGCTGAGCCTGGATCCGAAGTTCCACCCGGTCAAACAGAAAAGGAGGCCTCATTCCGAAGTCAAGCATGTACTCATCAAAGACGAGGTATCTAAACTTCTTAAAGTAGGATCCATTCGGGAAGTTAAGTACCCGGATTGGTTAGAAAACGTAGTAGTAGTAGTAGTAGTCCCTAAAAAGGGGAATAAATTAAGAACGTGTATAGACTATAAAGATTTGAACAAGGCATTCCCCAAGGACTCTTTTCCTTTGCCAAACCTTGATCGCATGATCGATGCGACGACCGGCCACGAGATCCTCATCTTTCTCGATGCCTATTCCAGGTACAACCAAATTTGGATGGACCCGGGCGATTAGGAAAAAACATCCTTCATCACTAAAAACAACACCTACTATTATAACGTAATGCCATTCGGACTAAAAAATACCGGTGCCACTTACCAACGCCTAGTAAATCGGATGTTCAAAGAGTAAATAGGAAAATCAATGGAGGTTTATATTGACGACATGTTAGTTAAGTCCTTGCGAGGAGAGGACCATTTGAAACATTTGCACGAAACCTTCAATATATTGAAGAAATACAGTATGAAGCTGAACCCGGAGAAAATAAACCAAATAAACTAAAAATACCATCAGTAAAATAAAGGGAAGAATAGTTTTTTGGTATTTTTTTCTTCAAATAGATAATCTACAAAAGGAACATTCAAACTCCAAATAATAAAAATTGGAAAGCTTAGAAAAGAAGACTTCAAATGCACAACAAAAAAGCTTGTATCTCCCTCTATCAAATTAAAGAGCTTGCGATTTTAGAATAGACACAAAATCTATATGTACTTGTTTCTAATTATTATAGTTTTTTTAGATTTTGTTATATTTTTGTTCTTCATCATGCAACATCATATTTTGATTCCGAAGAATCTCTCTTCACGTGACACTCTCCTCTCATTCTTGCAAATGCAATTCATTTGTATGCGACCCAAATGATATTCTTACAAACACAATGAATATTTCACTCAAGTTTAACATAAACTCACTTCACATCAATATATTGAAATTCTCAATTCTAGATACTTCTACCCCTAGTTATACATCACATGAAAGAAAGCACTCAAAGAAAAATACTTGAATCCTCTACCTGTAAATTTCTTGCCATTCACATTTGTTTGCCCATCATATTGATGACTGCAAATAATTCTCATGATTTTATACAGTACGACTATCACTAAAAGCCCAAGGAAATCATCAAAAATAAAAGACATCCATAATAATGAAAATAGACATTCTAACTAACTAAATATCGCTAACATGAATCGTGATTCGATATAGAATTCAAAGGAAAAATATTAAATTAAAGATATAATATATTATATTAAAAGAGAGAGAAGGGGGATAAGTAGAGAACTTGCTCTTGTCATGTTTAACGGTGCGTAGAATCCAAAAAGGAGTGAAAGGAGGAATAAAAACAGATTAAAAACCAAAAGGAATGAAAACAAAGAATATTGAACAAAAGCAGATTGACAGACTATGAAATTATAATGAGATTATCAGTTTATGCTTTTGACATTCTATATAGAGTTTCGATATATATAACTTATAAATCCAGCACTGTTATTAAACTTTAAGGCAAATTGTTTACCCTAAAAAATGGATAACTATTAAATTTATTTGTGGTTTTAAGGATACGTGAATTAATTCGATACAAACGATAAATTGCGTTAGATTAAACGGATAAAGGAGGTAATAAATTAGCAAACCACTTGGGGAGGGTGATTCCGGACTTAACAACAACCTTAATGAAATATCCACCCTCGATCCCGGACTCACAATGACCAAGCACTGATGAACAAGAATAAGAACTTTGAATAACAAAAAAAATAAATGTACATTACCTTGATATGCATGTTACAGTATGTCTAATGAATAATCAGACTCCCCCCTTTATATAGTAGGGGAGTCCTACCCTAGGTACAATTTTATAAAAGGTAAAAAATTTCCGTTTAACTAATCACCGAATTTCTGCTGGTACTTGCCGAGATCCACGCCGTGATACCCGGCTGGTCACGAAAATCACGGCCTTCTGTGAATCGTGCTCGGTTTCATAACAACGCTCTCTAAAGTCTTTTGGGATTTGGATCGATCCCGGGGTCATAGCCCTGATATTCCCGACGGTGGGCATTGTGCCCCCCGACACTGGCTCGATGATAATTCAAATATAAGTTTCTCACAAGATCATGTTTTTTTCATTATTTCAGCATATATAGTGATTACGGAGAGTGCTTCATTATTCTCGGATGCGGGTGCGATGAGGGTGGAAACATAAATCATCAAGAAAATACTTATGTTCATTTAATGTGAAATTCTGTATATTATTTCTAATCTCTGTTACAATCAGGCCTCACATTGGCTAGTTCTTTTCTTCAAATTTTAGTTATTGTAGAAGACTTCTCTACTAGATGCTATTAATTTAGTAGTTGTAACGACCCGACTTGTCGTTTTAAGAATTTACATTATGTTCGATGGTTTAAGGTCTCGAGCAACTTTGAAATGTATATTATGACTTGCGAGGGTGGTCAAGTTTGGTTTTCAGATGATTCAGGATTTAATTGAAAGAACAATTCTTGTTTTGGAAGCTTAAGTTGAAATAATTGACTGGATGGTGAATTATATGTAAACGGCCCTGAAATAGAGTTTTGATGATTCCAATAGCTCTGTATGGTAATTTTGGACTTAAAAGTGTGTCCGAAAAATTATTTGGAAGTCCGTAGTGAAAATTTGCTTGAAATGGCGAAAGTTGAATTTTTGGGAAGTTTGACGAGGGAGTTGACTTTTTGATATCGGAGTCGGAATCCAGTTCCAAAAATTTTCAGAGATCCGTTATTTTATTTATGACTTGTGTGCAAAATTTAAATTTATTTGATAGGTTTCGGCATCGAATATAGAAGTTGGAAATTCTTAAGTTCCTTAAGTTTTAAGTGGGGTATGATTCATGATTTTGGCGTTGTTTTATGCGATTTGAGGTTTCAACAAAGTTTGTATGATGTTTTAGGACTTGTTGGTGTATTTGATTAAGGTCCCGAGGGCCTCGGGTGAGTTTCAGAGTGGTTTCGGCTCATTTTTAACTGTTGGTTTTTTTGACAGCTATGTGCGAAATTTCTGATGCACAAAGCTGATTTTGGAAGCTTATACATCGAAATCTATGAGGAATCTGGAAATTATCAAAACATGAAAGTTGTAGCCCTTTGATTCTAGTTTTCAGAATGATAAACCATTTATCATCTGGATATTTGTACAGAAAGTAATGATCGATTGACTGAAGTTAGTATTGCAGATTTTGGCTACAGTAGTGTGCATCGCCAGAAATTTCTGCTGCACAAGGCTAATTTTGGGAGCTTATATCTTGCAATCTATAAGAATTTGGACGATGAAAAAAAACATGAAAGTTGTAGCCCTTTGTATCTAGTTTGCAGAAATGTAAATTGTTTAGCAGTTGGAGTTGAGTACAAGAAGTTATGGTTGATACACTACAGGCTGTCGGAGAAAAGTTTTAGAAGAGTTTGATATTTTCAGCATAAGCATGTAATGATCCAAAGGTCCATTTTTAGTTCTAAAGATTGAAATTCGATTTCGAGACTTCTTAAATTTTGATAATGAATTATATGAGTGATCTGGAAAGTTTGGTCTAATTTCATCAAGTCACGATTGGGTTTTTAGCGTGAAACATGAGTTAATTGTTTAACAAGCGAAATTGGTATCATATTGAGTAAATGAGCTTCGAATTGAGTTTCTATTGAATGACTAGGTTCGTATTATTATTTGTGACTCATAGGAAAAAGAATCGTTGAATTCCGAGTTCATATTATGGAGTTAGAGCCTTTTTAGTGAAACAAATAAATGTTGGTGCAAGCAAGTTTTGGTGTGGACTTTTAGTGACGGAAAATAGATATTTAGTGACGGAAAATGGACTTTTAGTGACAAATGGGCAGAAAATTAAGGACCAAAAATGGACATTTCCTTTATTTCGTTTTGATTTTTTGGAGCACGGTTCTTGGGTGATTTTGAGGATTTTTTTCACGACTTCGACTTGGGTAAGTGTCCTATATCCAAAAGTGATTATATTTCATAAATCCATGGTTATATTCATCATTTATTTCGGATTTAAATGAAAGAAATCAAGATTTTTGCAAAACTTTTCAAGAATGAAAATTTTAGATTTGGAGGTCGAGTTGTTATCGGAATTTGATAAAATTGGTATGGGTTGTCCGATTTTGTGAGTTTCGTCAGATTCCGATATGTGAGCCCCACGGGCGATTTTTGAGTTAAATTTCGGATTTTGTTGAAAAATTAGTATTTTCATATGGAATTAATTCCTATAATTAGTATTGACTGAATTGATTTTGGATAGATTTGAGTTGTCCAGAGGTCAATTCAAGCAAGAAGGCAATTTTAAAATATCGGCCTAACTTCAAAAAGGTAAGTATCTTGCCTAACTTTGTGTGGGGGAATTTTCCCTAGGCATTAAGTTTTATGTGAAAATTGTGTGATTGAAAAACCATGTACGCGAGGTGACAAGTACGTACTTAGTTTATATGTGCAAACTATATCGGTTAAAAAATTTGTAGACATCCTTATGTATTAAATTGGAAAATTGTGGAAATTTAGTAAATCCTTGATTTGTCATGCAACGTTAGAATAATATTATCTATTTTAAAAATAATTTTTAAATTTATTAATAATCAAAGAACAAATGCGGAAGTAAAGTCTGAAATGTAGTGAATAATCCATAAAAATAACGGTGTCTAAATACCTCCCATAATTGGTGTCACAAGTGCACGGGCTTCAAGAATAATACAAATAAAGGTCTAAATAAAATAAAGCTGTCTGAAAATAAACACACAGCTAAAGTAAAATAGACGGGGACTTCAGAACTGCGGACGCCATGCAGTTATACCTCAAGTCTCCTCCGATTAGCTGAAAACCGACCAAGTCTATGGTACGCCGCTGGAACCAACTCCGAAATCTGCACAAGAAGTGCAGAGTGTAGTA